TGGTTGTTTTCTTCTTCGAATCGATCACTGTAAAAACGCTACGCCTTGAAAAGCAGCTGGGAGCGGGAGAACTCCATCGCTATATACAAAGCCCCGACTGGTTGCAACGATATCAGCTGTGAGTGAAGAAAGGCACGTCGAGATGTGGCAGCGGTGTGGTCATTCAAGTGTTTGAAGCAGCAAGGCAGAGAACAAACGGTGATATAATTTGCAAAGGCCATGGAATGCTTCAGCAGACCTTTGAAAATTACCTCCATGCAACAGAAGAATCTAAAAGCGTCTTGTATCGGTCTAGCATTTAATCGCTACATTGCAAATTGAGGTCTCCGAGGGCTTGCAATCTTATTTTATGTTGGACAAGGAAACGATTACAATTGTCCCGAAATGGAAATATCTCTCCGAAGGCGCAGTCACCGCCACGCTCAAATGAAGTGCGCAGCCACGCTCACCGCGTTCAGGGGATGTGGAACATACATTTGCGCAAAAAGAGGGTCCCCACGGATTTTTTGTGAGATCAGCGAGCTCATCTTTAACGAGAACCCAAAAGATTTATCCAGAGAGCCCGCTACTCGCCAGTGCACTTCGCTAGTAAACTTCTAGCGTCAACAATTCGAGAAGAAAAAACTTTTCAAAAGCATATTTTCGTTGCAAGTCTTTGACTTTTGCCTCACAAGGTTGTTAGATGGAGCATTCACTCAGTAGGATCAAAAATTTTGAATGAATCGTAGTCTCCAAAAGCCTGAACATTTTCTTTCATTTTTTCTCATTCTTGTCAATGTGGCCATCCATATCAACGGCTTGGAAATCGATGAAAATTGGGCAATCATTGAAGTTACGAAGCAAGCCTAAGGCAGCGTTCATACTTCGCGACAGCAGCGGCGATCGCGGCGACCCTCGGCGATCGCCGCGATCGTCGGTACATGGCAGAGCGCGCCCCAACGCTATTACTTGCGCTCCGAAGGCTTTTGGGAAGAAGCGACTCAATTTCATGCTTTTTTCCTTTAACTGCAATTTTCTCAGGTACTGAAGCTTGGTTTGACACAAAAAAGGTGAACCCAACTTAATGGCTTTTGTTTTCTATTTTCTTTCTTGATTCAGGAGAAATGAGCAAAAAGCGTGAGAGCTTCATTTAGGGTAGGTTTTTATTGTTTCTTTTTTCATTCGTCGAGCTTATACATGAGGTTATAAAGTTTTCACCTGTTGATGTTGCGTAAAATGATTAGTGTTTTGGTTCCTAGGTGAGTTTCTTTCTGTTTCTTTTTTTCTTCGTTGTTTGAACTCGACTTGTAAACTATAAATGTTTTGGAAGTTGGAACAGTTCAGACGATAGGAACTTTTAAGGCGCTTGTATAAATTGAAACAATAAAAACAAAAAAAAGAAGCTCACCCAGGAAATGGAGTTGGCCTTATCCCGACCTAAAAAGAAGTGAAACCTCCTTACCTCATATTCCAGATCCGCTTATGTATAGAAAGTCGTAAGTTATCAGTTAGTAGCCATTATTAAGAAAAAAAGGTCTCACAAGTTGGATTCCCTTATTTATCAAGCGAGTCCATAATAGCGTTGGGGCGCGCTCTGCCACGTACCGACGATCGCGGCGATCGCTGCTGTCGCGAAGTATGAACGCTGCCTAAAGTCTCCTTTGCCCTTGTAGTCATGTTCTTCATCCTGGTTAGGGAAGTCACTAAGGATAGAGATTATTTTTGGAAAGGTTTTTTGCCCTCATTCGGTGAGGGTAAATTCATGGAGCATCAGCTCTCTGTACCGCTGCAGGGATCGAAAAAAGGTTGAGAAACCTTTTTTGCTTTCACAAACTATATCTATAGAATATT